GTTAATGGGCAAAATCCACTTACACCTAATTAGGATACATATTCCAAATATAAATCTATAATTAATCTCTGTTAAATACCTCATAAACCCATTAGTCACTTATGGAGGTCAATTTAACCACCATCGACATTTTCCTTGATCTCGATCGTCGGAAAACTGCTCCGTTCACCTGACATTTCAGGGTATGAGCCATGCATCCACCATAAAAACGTTTTATTTACACACAGTACACACTCTAAAATACACGATAAATTGTGTATTTATAAGTTATACCTACTCTTGAGGCTTTGACCTAAGTTTGAGCCCACTAAACATGATAAAGTTGGGTTATGACCCACTAATGAAATCCAATCTGAAAGATTTATACGAGTCCAATAGAATGCCAAATTGGCTCCCATCAGTCACGATTTCTTGAGTTTTCCTCACAAACCTCGTACCCTTCGGTTCGAACTACCATACTGGAGTTAGACCGCGTCACATCGAATATAAAGTAAATAAAATTAATCTAGCAATAATGGGAATTTGCACACACTACTAATACAAAGAATAACTATGTAAAAAATATTGCATTTTTTTCCTTAGGAGAACATGGTTTCTTGAAATTGCCTCTTGATATATTTGATTTAATTATTATGTTTAATAATTATTGCGATCCATTTGGAAAAATAAAAATGATATCTATAGAGGCTCCTATCATGGCACAGGATGGCAGTTTTGTCCCTTGTGATTTTTCTTTTTAATTGCAACAATTATTTCGTAATTAACATCAAGAACATGAATCATCAATAGTTAAAACAATTTAATTAATAATTAATGACAATGATTAATAATCATTCGTCAAAATCTATACATCTCAATGAATTAATTAATTAGTTAATACTGCTCGGTAATCAATTATTAATTTGAAAACATATAAAAAGAATCAATAATTTTTAAATTGATAGGGTTCGAATATCGTTTTCTTTACTAATTAATTATTTTATGAACTAATTAATTGTGACTTATTGGTTATTTTTCATATCGTGAAGAGAAGTTGCAATTTTATTATACTGGAGAGAAACCTAACACAGCTTTATAAATTCGATTTTCAATTATTTGATTTTCAGTGACAAAGAATTAATGAACCTGAAAATTAGTTATTCGATCATATAATGAATTCAACGGAAATGGTCAATGGTCAATATTCAATTAACATTTTCCCAAATAATTTTGTTGTCCTTGCTAGTATTATTATTGGACTTAGGTCTCCTTCAATTTCCAATATAGAGTTGATTAATAGAGATGATTGAAATACAATCTGATAAATTAAGAAATAAGTTTATTTTTCTCATAATTTTTTTTAATCAAATGTTAAAATATTATTGTATGTATTTAGTAAAAGAATTATTTTATTTTGTGTTACTAACTTTTATATTTGATTACTAGGCCAAGTAAAGTTATAAGTTACATAATTTTACTCAAATAAACCAAATTAATATATTTCCTTATTGGTGTATCTATTTATTGGGTAAATTATAACAACCCAGAGGTATGGTCAAATTACGAAAACCTCCCTCGTGTTTGCATAATTACATCTACCCTCAATTATGAATCTTCTTACATCTCCACCCTTATGCCGTCAAATTCAACATAATCATCTGGATTCCATGAAATGTTCTCTAGTTTGTACTCGTTTTGTGTCAAAAACAATTTCTAATGCACTACAATCTGATATATACAAGCCAAAATATACATCTTATGACCACCTTGCTTCAAAATATGGAGTTCGATTGAGATAAAGCGGGTACAAAATTGAGAATAGTCAATATATTCTAGAAGATTCCACTAAAATTAAAACCGCAAGGATGAAAGTGTGAGAAAATTTATAGTTGAGATGTGATTGTAATTACTCAAATAAGAGGGGATTTTCATAATTTGACCGTATTTGAATGGTGGATGTAATTTACCTTAATTTACTAATTTATTGAAGAATGGTCCCCAAGCACGATTAAGACAGTACACAATTTCAGCATAAGATTTTATTTTTTCAGTTTTGGTAAGTAAATAATCAATAGTTAAATAGTTTCCTTTTCCAATGCAATTTCCATACTCATATTCAGATATCCAATCACAACTCAGAAAACACCACATTGACCTAACTAAATTATAAATATAAAATAATATTTATTTATTTATTGAGTAAAAATAAATAAATAAAATAATAAATTTACATATCTACACACGTTCTCCTCAACATATAAAATCCAACCCCCACCTCCCCTCTTTCCCACATCTCCTCCACCTCTCCTCCGCCGTACGCCACCGCCTTAAAAAAAATGGCAATCACGAAACGAAACTCCGGCGAACTGAAAACGCGGGTGAATTGTTGTCTGAACAAACTTTCAGACAGAGACACGCTGTCAATGGCGGCGAACGAGCTCGACAGCATAGCCAGAGGGCTCGACGGCGATGCTTTTGCGCCTTTCCTCAATTGCCTCTCGTCGACGGATTCGTCGGAGAAATCACCCGTCCGCCGCCACTGCGTCCGTCTACTCAGCGTCCTCTCCGCCGCCCACGGCGACGCTCTGTCGCCCCACCTCTCGAGGATGATCTCCGCCGTCCTCCGCCGCCTGCGGGACCCCGACTCCTCCGTCCGCGCGGCCTGCGTCGACGCCGTTTCGTCGATCGCCACCCACGTGAACTCGCCGCCGTTCGCGGTCTTGCTGAAGCCGCTCGTGGACGCGCTGTTCCACGAGCAGGACCCGAACGCGCAGATCGGCGCGTCGCTCTGCGTCTCCGCGGCGGTTGAGGCGGCGCCGGAGCCGGACGCGGCGGAGCTGAGGAAGCATCTGCCTAGGGTTTTGAAATTGGTGAGGAGTGATTGCCCGAAGGCCAAGCCGGCTCTACTGCTGCTCGTCGGCAGCATCGTCGGCGCCGGTTGCTTGAAAAGTAAGAGCTTGTTGAGCTCCGTCGTTTCCACGGCGGTTGAGTTCTTGAGCAGCGATGATTGGGCTGCGAGAAAAGCGGCCGCCGAGGTTTTGGAGAAGGTGGCGTCGTCGGAGAGAAATTTGGCGCCGGAGTTCAAGGATTCTTGTGTTGCTGCTCTAGAGAGCAGAAGATTTGATAAGGTAAATAAAAAATAAAAAATAAAAAATAAAAAATAAAAATTGTAGAATTGTTTTTTTATTTTATTTTATTTAATTTATTATTAATTTATTTATTTTTTTAACGTAACAGGTAAAACTTGTGAGGGAGAGGATGAATCAAGCATTAGATATATGGAAAGATCTTCCCGGAATATCTGAAGATTTGCCCTCGCCACAAGGTAATTACAAATTTGACCTTCATATACATATTTTTTTTTTTATTTTTTTTTTTTCATTTTTACCTTTCTTGACTTCAATTTACAATTCAAGAATTACTGCAGTTAATTTTGCATATTGATTAGGTTTTACATTTCAGTCTATAATATGGTGAATGATTTTGTGTTTTATGTGTTTAATCAGATACAAGAAGCAGAGGAAACTCCCCTGTTGTACTTTCCGGTAATAATAATAACACCGGCATCTTCGAAACACCACAACCGATTAAAACGGCATTGACCAGGTCAACCCCGTCCACTTGTTCATCCGCGGCCAACAATGTTGAGAAGACGGTTATCGAAAACAAAAAACCATGTATTAATATGAATTCAAGGAAGAATTTCGGGTCTCGTGTTGTTCCTTTTAACTGCAACGAGAATTCCGAAATCGGCGACGGATATGCAATCAAAGAAAACGAGTACGAGGACCTCTCTCTGATCCGAAAGCAGCTCCTGCAGATCGAAAACCAGCAATCCAATTTGTTGGACCTACTCCAGGTACAGTAAAGGGGCAATACTGTAATTAATGTAATGACCCTAGGATGTTTTATTTAATTTTAATTATTTTTTTAATATTGTTGATATGCAGAGGTTTATCGGGAACTCGCAAAAGGGAATGAGTTCGTTGGAGAAACGAGTTGACGGTTTGGAGAAGGTTCTAGAAGAGATGTCGTCGCATGGATTTCCGATAACAACGAGACGAAGGACTGTGTCCGGAGGGAATAATACGAACAATACATGCTGTAGTATGATACCGGGAGCCGAGTTTTTGAGTCCTAAGTATTGGAGGAAATCGGAGGGCCAAACGCAGCTTCATTCTAAGTTCTCTTCTTCGACTTCTTCTTCGTTCAGAAATTGATTTACTACAATTCGTCAAGGTTATATTAGTAATTAATATAATATTGTTTTCTATTGTGATCAGAGCTAGATAGTTCAAGTCTTTTTAGGAATGTACATATATAAGTACAATTTTCTGTCTGTTTAGCGTTTACTACGAGAAGAAAAGCGTGCGGTGCGGGAAAATATGCCGCTTCGTTTTCCATTTGTATTTCACAGTCTCGATAGTAAGAAAGGATCAATCTTTAAAAGAGTGTTCCGATTTTCATTTATGTACTTGTAAGCTTCTCGGACAGTCCGTTCTAAGTTGAAATGATCCGAGTTTATACACTTTAAAGAAACACTTTAAACCATGCCTAAATAACACAATTATAGCTTGATATCATCTACTCGAGCAAAAATGGATTTCAGGAATGTTAGTACTGAATTGAATGAATGAGAATTGCACGTACAGTAGAATCTCGATAAATTAATAACCTCTTTTGGTCCCGACTCGGTGAAAACGTATTAAATTATTAGTTCAATAATTTAATATTTTGTTAAATTAATAGAATTTTGTTAATCTCGACTATATTAATCTATAGATGTTTAACTTTAGGGCGAATGGCAAAAAGGCCCATACATGGAACTTAAATGCATTTTGGTCCACAAAAAAAACAGTCTCTCAATTAAACCCATCCCCATGTCTTTAGTCTAAAATGCCCTCCATAATATAATTCTTATTAATATTCCACCCATTATGCTCTAATTTCCTTAATATTACACATTGACCTCGGATTTAAACAAATACATCACATTAACCCCCCTTTTTTTTTTTCAGAAAATAACTTTTTTTCTGAAATGTTTTTTTCCGGCGTTGACCGCCGGTGTCCGGCATTTACTTTTTTTTTTTTTTTTGATTTTTTTTTCTTAGAAAAAAATATTTTAATTAATATTACTGTCTTGGCTACTAAATTACTGTCTCAGACAGTAATATTACTGTTTGGGACAGTAATATTATGAATATTATTTTCCCGAACAGTAATATTATTAATATTATTGTCTAAGACAGTTAATTTACTGTTGGAGACAGTAATTTAATATTAATTAAAATAATTTTTTTAAGAAAAAAAAAGTCAATTGACAGTTAAATTATTGTCTCCGACAGTTAAATAACTGTTGGAGACAATAATTTAGCAACGAATACAGTAATATTAATTAAAAATATTTTTTTTAAGAATAAAAAAGTTAATTAATTAACTGTTAAATTACTGTCTCCGAGAGTTAAATAACTGCCGGAGACAGTAATTTAGCAACGAATACATTAATATTAATTAAAAATATTTTTTTTAAGAATAAAAAAGTCAATTAACAGTTAAATTACTGTCTCATACAGTTAAATAACTGCCGGAGACAGTAATTTAGCAACGAATACATTAATATTAATTAAAACATTTTTTTGAAGAAAAACAAAATTATATATATAAAAAAAAAAAAGTCAATGCCGGAGACCCGGCAGTCAACGACAGTTGACCGGCCGGAAAAAAAATTCACGAAAAAAAAAAAGTCAACTTATGTTATATTTTACTAGCATTTTCCCCGTGCGATGCACGGATCTTATTTTAAAAGAGAAAAACAATAATCAATTTAATACATAATAAGAAAATATAGTACACTAAGATAATAAAATTTAATAATGTAATATTATTCATATTTTATATATAATTTTTTTTTAAATTTAATTTAATTTTAATAATTGTTAAAAGTTATAGTTAGAAATTAGTAGAGAAAAAATATAAAAAATAAATAATTATAGAAATATCGTTAGGATTTTTTTAGGGTTGCCCAACGTTTCTTACTTTTATATATAAGATATAAAAAAATATAATAACGAAGGGTTAAGTAAATTAAAACCTTAGAAAATATTAATTGAAATCATAAATTTTATGTTGCATTTTTTCTTATTAAAACCTTAAAAAAGATTAATTGGTATTATAACTTATGTTGGATTTTCTTTTATTTTCTTGCAAATTTTTTTAATAAAGATAAAAAAAATATTATGAAACAAGTGATTATAAACTAATGTAATTTCCGGAATCCCGACAATTCCGAAATCAAAATGAATTTTTGCATTTCTGCTCCTATGGAACAAAATTTGGAACCCATTTTTTACTTGTGCAAAAAAATTGGAAATTCTTCGAAATAGTCATTTCTGATCCTTTCGGTCCAATTTTCACACACTACCCAGTATACATAATATAGAGATTGTACCCAGTATACATAATATAGAGATTTGAACAAAAAGATGATCTTGCAAAATTTAAATTAAGAAAAATTGCCCAAACTAGAAAAAGAAAAGATTTTAGGGGGCAACACAATTTTTGTCCGTTGCACCACAGTTTGTGTGTCTTTTACTAAACCAGTGTGGGGTTGCTCTGCTCTTACCAACCAACTACCATAGCCTCAGAGGTTTTAGGGTTACAACATTTCGACATTCAAAAAAAGGTCCGCCTTTTCACCTTCGCAACAGTCACACAAAATTCATGCGTTATTTTCTTCCGATTCTTGTTTTGATTGATCAGTGAAATTTTATTTCTGCAGTGCGAGAAGAAATTGATTAATTAATTATACATGGGCGTGATTGATTTATTCGGCAAAAGTTCATCTCTTTGCGTCGAAAGGCCCAAACCCAGTATCAATTGCTGTTCATTTGAGGGAAAGCCGAGGCGGAGTAAATCTACATTTATGGTCCCGCCGGCGTCCTCCTCCTCCGCCGCCGCCGTGCCGGTGAAAGAGGACGGCCAACAGGAGAGTGTCCGCTCGTTGACCGGAGATTCGTTTATTCGCCCCCATCTCCGTCAATTGTCTGCATATCAACCTATTCTACCTTTCGAGGTCAATTTCTTGACACGTCAATTGTCTCAGTATTTATTTTTTATTTCAATAAATCTCGACAGCGACACCATGAACGAACTAGAAACTATGATCAGAGAAACATCGTTTCTAATCCGATATGATTTGAGGCAGAATAGGCTTATTAGCAAATAGTTTGTAATGAATTTGATGTTGCCTGCCAACTGTTTGATTTTATGTTTTTGGAAGAAGCCAACTGTTGATTACTTATCCAATACATTGGGTTTCTTTCACTTCAATTTGCACTAAAATTTCCTCTGTGCATGAGTAAAATTCACGTATTTTCAACACTCCATTCTGACAGGTGAATCCGATTGATTTTGAAACTTATGAACTTGTTATGTGAATGTATTATCGGTTCGACGAACACGAATTTTCGAGTCTTTACTTATAAAATGTTAATGTTGGATATGCAGGTTCTGTCTACTCGTCTTGGTAGAAAACCAGAGGATATTGTGAAATTAGATGCAAATGAAAATCCATACGGTCCACCTCCAGAGGTATGGCTAACATAGCCTAGATTCCTCGGTTTTTGATGTAATAAAAAAGAATTGTTCCTTGTGCGGGCATTATCTTATATTTTTGCATTGTTTTTTAGGTTTTCGAAGCTTTGGGTTCGATGAGATTCCCTTATATTTATCCCGATCCTGAAAGCCGTAGATTGCGCGCTGCACTTGCTGAAGATTCTGGTGTCGAAGCTGAGCATATTCTCGTTGGGTGTGGTGCAGATGAACTTATTGATTTGATTATGCGGTGTGTAACTTTATGACACTTTCCGGATTCTTGCATTTGAAATTTTTTATTTTTCGAGTCTGATTTTGTTGCGTTTCCGTTTGAATTGATCCTACAGATGCGTGTTAGAACCTGGTGACAAGATTTTGGACTGCCCACCAACTTTTACAATGTATGAGTTCGATGCAGCTGTAAACGCAGCACTGGTTGTCAAGGGTATTTTTGTCCTTACTTATATGTTATGCAAATTATAGATTTTTTATTTTTAGTTACTTTTTCTGTATTTTGCATAAGTAAGCTGTTTGCCATTTTTGATACTTCCACCTTAACTCTGACCTTATACCGTCGGCAGTTCCGAGGAATCCAGATTTCAGCTTGGATGTGAAAAGAATCTTCGAAGTCGTTGAGCAGGAAAAACCAAAGTGTATATTCCTGACCTCACCAAATAATCCCGATGGAAGGTATTTTTACTTCGAGTATATTCTTTTTTTCGTTTTTGGTTCTTCAAAAACTCTCCTCCGTGCAAGTATTGTGAGCGATTGTGAAATCAAGTGCTCTATTTCGAAATTAACTAATTGCGTAATGCAGTGCTTATAACGTAGTATTACAGAGGCTTGTGAATTAGAATTATGCTGTTCAAGTTTTGCAATATTTGAAATTCCGAAAGTTTTGCTTCTACAGACTTAGTTTTCACTTCCTACATGTAACATCGATTTTGATCTCGCAGCATAATTGATGATGAAACGCTTCTGAAAATACTCGGCCTACCAGTATTGGTTGTGCTGGACGAAGCATATATTGAATTCGCGGGAATCGAGTCTAAGATGAAATGGGTGAAGAAGTACGAGAATCTAATCGTCCTTCGCACATTCAGCAAAAGAGCTGGTACTGTCATTTATTATTTAAATGTTTTCTATGTTAATTACGATGGTATATGTATACATTATGAATTTGAAACAATCAATGAATTATGGTTTATATTGTGGTGATCCAGCTTTAGCAGGACTTCGAGTGGGATATGGGGCATTTCCATTGAGCATAATCGAGTTCCTATGGAGAGCCAAGCAGCCATACAATGTGTCTGTAGCTGCTGAACTTGCAGCATGTGCAGCTTTACAGAATCCCGTCTATCTCGAGGTACCACACGTTCAATACCCAAAAGTAGACATACGCATGGGTTGAGGCCCGTTGGGTTCGACGGGTCCGGGTCCGATTGTTCAAATTTTTTTATTTTTTTTTCATTTATTATACTGTTGATTTCAAATGATCTATAAGGGTGGAAATTGGTATTGATTACACGTTTCGATTTATGCCCAGAATGTTAAAGTGGCTTTGGTGCAAGAACGAGAAAGGCTGTTCAAGCTTTTGAAAGAAGTGCCGTTCCTCAACCCATACCCGAGCTACTCCAATTTCATCCTCTGCGAAGTTACATCTGGAAGAGATGCTAAAAAGTTGAAGGTACGACGAAAGTCTTATATATATATATATTCATTTTTTATTTGAAAAAAAAAAAACAAACGACGTATGTAAGAGCTGTAATTGCAGGAAGATCTAGCAAAAACGGGAGTGATGATCCGTCACTACAGTAACAAAGAATTAGCGGGTTATGTTCGTGTTTCTGTGGGGAAGCCGGAGCATACAGATGCTTTAATGGAGTCTCTCAAGGGCCTCTATTAACCCACCCAAGTTGGCATTCAAACATTTGTGAGTAAGAATCAACAACACACTATTGATTCAGAATTCTTTTTCGAATATTTTCTCTTTTCTTCTTTTATTCCATATTAAAAAAGTGAATAAGGAATTTCAAGTCACATGCATTAGGGTTTACAAACCAAACTCCATGTGCTATTATTATGCTACTCAATTATATATATATATATATATATATATATATATATATATATATATATATATATATATATATATATATATATCTATATATATATTAATTTGTGGTAAAGAGTGAATGAGAATATATGATTTAACAATTAAGTGACAAATAACAGGAAAAAAATTTTTAAAAAATAATTATAAAATTATTTTTTATTATTTGGTATTTGGGTGTCCATATGTCTCGATTTTTTTGTTTTTTTTTTTTTCCTCTTTTTTTTGGGTTATTTGCAAATAAATAAATACATGTAGATAATCCTCTAATATTATTTCTTTTTTTTTATCACTTACATAAATAGAGACATATATATACATATATATATAGATATAGATATATATATATATATAGCGAAATATTGTCTTCCTTGAAGTTTTTTTAGGTATATCAGACACCAAAATAAATAAATATATATAGATATAGAGATATATAGATGTATAGGTATATAGGCATGCGAAAA